TATATTAATTATATACGAATAAAATATGATTTTTTTTAAAATTCGATTGTTATAGTGGAATCTGCCAATGACAAAATATAATGAAAAAATTTAAAAGTACCACTGTTTTAAAAACAAATTCCAAAAATACCACCCAACTCCAAAAAATTCCAAAAATACCATCCTCTTTCAAAAACCGCCACCCCAACCAGCGGTTTGGTCGAAAACCGCTTGTCGGGGGTGCGGTTTTCTATGCAAACCGCGGGCCTAGGGGGCGGTTATAAAATAAAAAATTTGGACCAAACCGCTGGGTGGGGTGGCGGTTTGGCCCAAAACCGCCACCCCAACCAGCGGTTTGGTCCAATTTTTTTTTTTTTGTCAACTCCTAACTTCGACCGAAACTTCAAACGAACGTAACTTTGCACTCGGGTATCCGATCGTAGCGATTCTTTTTTTCATTTCGCATAACTTTTCAAGATCTACAACTTTTGCTAGGATGAAATTTTCAAATAAGGATATATTTGTTGATATACGGGACCTTGAGAATAACTTTACCTTTACTTTTCAGAAATCCATGTACATTTTGAAATTATAATTATATTAAAAGTTGTAGATCTTGAAAATTTATGCGGAATAAAAAAAATTCATGACATTCGGATTTTGGAGCACAAAGTTATGGCCGCCCAAAGTTTGACGAAATAAAAAAAAGGCTCGTTCGGGGTGGCAACTGACGTTTTTTCGAGACGAAGGCGGGACCCGGCTGTTTGAGACTTGCAAGATCTCAAAAAGTTATTCGGATTCAAAAAATGGAGGCCGCAAAATTTTTGAGATCTTGCAAGCCGCAAACCTCCGGGTCTCGCCTTTCGTCAAACTTTGGGCGGCCATAACTTTGTGCTCAAAACTCCGAATGTTATGAATTTTTTTTTATTCCGCATAACTTTTCAAGATCTACAACTTTTAATATAATCATAATTTCAAAATGTACATGGATTTCTGAAAAGTAAATGTAAAGTTATTCTCAAGGTCCCGTATATCCACAAATATTTCCTTTTTTGAAAATTTCATCCTAGCAAAAGTTGTAGATCTTGAAAATTTATGCGAAATAAAAAAAAGAATCGCTACGATTGGATACCCGAGTGCAAAGTTACGTTCGTTTGAAGTTTCGGCCGAAGTTGGAAGTTGATCGGAAAAAAAAAAATTGGACCAAACCGCTGGTTGGGGTGGCGGTTTTGGGCCAAACCGCCACCCCACCCAGCGGTTTGGTCCAATTTTGTTTTATTATAACCGCCCCCTAGGCCCGCGGTTTGCATAGAAAACCGCGCCCCCGATAAGCGGTTTTCGACCAAACCGCTGGTTGGGGTGGCGGTTTTTGAAAAAGGGTGGTATTTTTGGAATTTTTTGGGATTGAGTGGTATTTTTGGAATTGTTTTTTAAAACAGTGGTACTTTTGGATTTTTTCCAAAATATAATGGATGTGTCCTTTTGTTGAATTTCCCATTAAATGATCATTAATCATTTTCCCAACATCATCGTGAATACTTAGCATGAAACCTGATAGTAGAAGAGTGTTTTTGTGATGAATTGAATCGTAATAGTTAAAAGAAATAAATTAGCATAATAACTTGGATATTCAAATGATAAATATGGTAATTACCAAATCAATTAAGGCTAAATTTGATTAATAATAAAATGCAATATCATAACTAAACAGACCAAACTAATACAACAACCAAATTCACCAAACTAAAGTTTAGTCGATTTGATTAATCCTATCATTATTAACCAACATAACATTCTCTTTGTATGTGAATATAAATCAACCTCACTGCCACATCATCACCTTTAAAACTAGCTCGGTTGACGCGTCAATTCCTTGATTATTGACCACTAACAGTCAACACTAATATAATGAAAGTTTATACAAGGATTGTCATATTGAATACTTTAGAATAGAAATGACATTTTTTTTATAATTCTTGCGCTCTAGTAGAATTTGCCCAATATCCAAAATATAATGTATGTACAATATCATAACCAACCGATCAACTAATATAACATAATATTATCATTACGTGAGGGAAAAAACTATGTTAATAATCATTGGGTTAATACCTTATTTTTGCCCGAATTATGACCATATAATCAATTTTGTCTTGTGGTTTAAGAAATTAACATCTTGTTCTCAACTATTTAGCATATAGACTCAATTGGCCCGACACATGGTTAACCGTCAATTTGGGCAGTCAACATCGCTGACCGTTACAACACCTCATGTCAATGCCTCGTCACCCTAAAATCATTAAAAACTCCAAATTCAAATTATTTTTCTAATTTCTATTATTTATGATTTTCAAATTAACGAAAAAATTTTAATTAAAAAAATTTAATTTTTTTGATGATTTTTGGTTAATTTATAAAATTTATCATTTTCAAAGTACTCAAAATATAAATAAAATAAACTTTATTTATATTATTTATAATATTATTTTTTTGGTTAATTTGATAATGATAAATAAAATAAATTAGGAAAATAATTTGAATTTGAATTTTTTTAATGATTTTTAGTCTAACGAGGCAATGACATGGCATGTTGACTAACGGTCAAGGGTGTTAACCGTCCAAATTGACGGTCAAACCATGTGTCGGGCCAATAGAGTCTATATGTTGCATAGTTGAGGCCAAAGTTGATTATATGGTCATATTTCGGGCCAAAATAAGGTATTAAAATAAGGTATTAACCCTAAATCATTCTGAATTTATATAATTAATAAACCATAAAAATCACATATAGTTAACCCTTAACATAAATACATGCAACTAACAAAATTATTTAATAGTTATTGAAAGTAGCCATCTAACAAAAATATATGCTATTGGTATGTGGTTAATGAATTAGGTGTGTTTATTCTAGTCTCTTAGAAACTATTAGAGGATAAAAACTCTTCACTTTCATCTTTTCATCCAACATAATGTATGGAATTTAGTGACAATATGTTATTGTCTACAATCTACAAAAATAAATGTAGTATAGGAAAAATAATGAGTTTCATTTGGTCGATGAGTCCAAAAGAAAGGAATGCTTGATTCTTGAGTGTTGTGCAAAGTATTAAGTACGCGTACATAATACATAATATATTAAAAAATGGTTAATTACTTATTTGGTTAATTGGTGTGATTAGTTAGGAGTGTCTGAACCAAACTAAAACCAGATGAGCTAAAAGCTTGACCAAACCAAACCAATTAATCAAACTATCTTATCAAAACAATATCGGTTAAAATGATTACCACGGTAACCACACAATTTGAACACCTTAATAATAACACATATGTTTTAAAGAGCATCATTGCATGCCGGCCGGTTGAACTAGGTTCAACCGGTGCCGGTTATGAAACCGACATGAACATCATCCGTATGACCGACATGATAATTTGTTTGCTCTCTAAAGAAAATGAAATCATTGTAGTGAATTTAAATAAAAAAATTTTAATTTGAAATGCATTTCATGGATTATAAAGTTAAATATTGATGTTATTTGTTGTTTATGTTAAATGTAGTATTTAAATATGGATATTTGTTATTTTGTTTGAAATATTATATTCTATTTAAATATTAATGTAGATTGTATTGAAATATGTTTTATACATATTTAGTTTTATTTGATGTTAATGATTTTTCATATTTAGGGATGGCAGGCTCGGGCCCGCAAGCGGATACCCGCCCGAAGCCCACCCGAATTTGTGCCTGGTGGTTGGTGGTTTGAAGCCCGTCAACGGGCCGCGGTGAAACCGGTATCCGTCAATGATGGGTCTCGGGTGGTGACGGATCGAGAACTATCCGCCCCATAACCCACCCGACGGATTACCCGTCCCGCAAAACGTCGTAGTTTTGGTCGAGGTATATATTCCTCCTAAAGGCTGAGTTAACCCTAGTTCATCCAACCGCCTCGTTCATTTGTTCCATTCACTCGAAAACGAAAGAAACCCTAGTTTCCTTCTTTCTCTCTACCTCCTCTCTCGCGATTATCGATCAGATCGCAAGATAATCGCGATTTTTTTTCCTTTTCTCCTCTCCAAATCCTCAAATCTCTCCTAGTTTCACTACGATCTATCTTCGATTCCTCCATTCGACCAATTGCATGGCTGGAAGAGCAACGATCCGACGCCGATTTCGTCGAGCACAGCCCCAAAATGAGTGGTTTGGAGTTCAAAACCCTGATTGTTCGTCGATAACAGATAAGTTAATTCTGAATTTTTTCTTTTCTTGCGATTATCTTCGTTGTTTCCTCAAATCAAAATCTCTACTGACTCTTGACACTCGTATTGCTATATATAGGGGGATTTCAGAGGTCATTCCTCACCAGTCACCATCCTCACCTTCTCTAAATTTCTACCCAGAAGCCAGAACATCCAGTCCACAAAGAGCAGAGACAGAGAGATTGCGACGGCCAACGAGCATCCAGACAGAGTCCAAGTCTTTTTCTGGGTAAGGATCTTGAACTCGCCGACTTTTCCTGGGTTCGTGGTGTTAATAATACAGACATGCATGCTTGTCTCCTGTTCTAACTTTGTTTTTGTTCGTTGTTCACTCCTTTTTGGCCAGGTTGGACTCGTTTGAATCGTATTGAAGGACTGAACTCTGATGAGCAACTGAGCGAGTGATAGTGATCATCAGTGATCAGTCTACTGTCATTGGGTACTCGACAGTCCTCAGAAAAACAGGAAGACAAGGTAATCTCGTTCTCCTAATCCCTAACCAGTAGGCAGTAACCATTGTATATTTGCGTTTGTTGTGTTGCTTTGACTTGTTGTGACTATGGCTTGCTTGCTAATGACAAGAACTTAGTTAGAAGACGTAAACTGTAATGGTGAAACTATTGAAAATGGTGTCTTGTTTGCTGGTTAGAAGAAAAAATGTTGTCTTGTTGAAAATGGTGTCCATTTAAGTAAGAGAACATGTAAAATGAAGGCCTAATCAGTGATATAAAACTTATTATGTTCATATGGAAGGTGCTGCTAATGCTATGAATGTTGATCAACATGTCCCTGAAAATGGTGTCCAATTCCAACCTGAACAACCTGCTCCTGTTCCAAATAATCCATCTAATGGTAATGAGGAAGAACTGGTAGCACAACGTAAGTTAACCTCTAATGTGTGGCCTCACTTCCACAGAGTTAGGATTAATGGGGTAATGAAAGCTAGGTGTAAGTACTGTCGTAAACCCCTTGGTGGGGAAACAAGTAATGGTACTTCACACCTGAGAAACCATATCAAAACATGTATCCAGAAGAGGATACATGATGGTTCTCAAAAAATACTTGGCCCCAACTATCAACCTGGTGGAAATCCTCAACTTTCTGCTTCTCAATACAATTATGAGGTTTCTAGGAATGAACTTTGTTCTATGATTCTGGTCCATGAATACCCCCTTAGCCTTGTTGATCATGTGGGTTTCAAACGTTTTTGCTGTTCTCTTCAACCTCAGTTTGCTGTCCCTAGTAGAAACACGGTGAAAAAGGATATTCTGGGTCTGTATGGGGTTGAGAGGTCTAAATATCATACCATGATTGATGGAAACTTGGGCAGAATTTCAGTGACTACTGATTTGTGGACTGCCACAAATCAGAAAATGGGGTATATGGCTGTAACTGGTCATTTTATTGACAACTCTTGGAAGCTTCGTAACATAATGTTGAGGTTTATGTATGTTCCAGCCCCTCACACTAGTCAAAGGCTAGCTGATAGGTTGTTTGATTCACTTCTTGATTGGAACATTGATGGTAAGTTGTCCTCAATCACACTGGACAACTGTACCACCAATGATTCAATGATATTTCATATGCGAAATAAGCTTGTGAGCAGTGATCTGTTGCTTGATGGGAAACTGATTCATATGAGGTGTTCAGCTCATATTTTGAACTTGATTGTGAGGGATGGTTTGGATGCAATCAAAGATGCTATACATTTGATTAGGGAGAGTGTAGTTTACTGGAATTCTACACCTAAGAGGGTTCAAACCTTCTTCGAAGTTGTTAAGCAACTAAAGTTGACATTTGAGAAAAAACTGGTACTTGATTGTCCAACTAGATGGAATTCCACATACCATATGCTCTCTGTTTCTCTTCAATATAAGGATGTTTTCTTTCGTTTGAGCTTGAGGGAAAGTCAATACACATCTGTTCCTTCTAGTTCACATTGGGAATTTGCATTTGTTGTGATTGATAAGCTGGAAATATTTTCTGAGATAACTCAGTTATTCTCTGGTTCCAAGTATCCGACTGCCAATCTTTTCTTCCCAAAGATTTGTGACTTGAGATTGAAACTGAATGAGTGGGGTCTTGATCCCAACCCTGTGATTTTTGGAATGGCCAGTCAAATGTCTGAGAAGTTTGATAAGTACTGGGATGATATCCATCTTGTACTTGCTGTTTCGGTTGTTTTGGATTCTAGATATAAGCTCCATGTGATTGAATACTATGCTGGGAAGTTTGGGAGTATGGAAACTGACTTGGTTAGTGAGAATATCAAGAAGATTATTTGTGGTTTGATTCTTGATTATCAAGCCAAAGCCGAGAAGAAGTCTGGTTCTGAAACTGGAACTTCTTCTGCTAGTTCTGGATCTGTCTCGACTACTGAACTTGACTTTGAGCTCTTTGTAAGTCAAAGGAAAAAGAGCAAGAGTTCTTTGATAACTACTGAGTTGGATATGTATCTTGCTGAGGATATTATTCCTCGGACAGCAGAATTTGATCTACTCTTATGGTGGAAACTGAATGGTCTCAAGTATCCCACCTTGCAAGCAATTGCAAGGGACTTTCTGGCAATCCCAATTACATATGTTGCTTCTGAAAGTGCATTTAGTTCTGGTGGGAGGTTGTTAGACCCTCACCGGAGCAGGCTTCATTATTCCACTGTTGAATCAATGATGTGCACACGAAGTTGGATTATGGAAGACATGCAACGAGGTAACATGCAACTAAATCTCTAAATTCTAGTACAACTAATTTTGTATAAGTGTAACTAATATTTGTATACACTTTTCTGCAGATACGGAGGCTGCTGCTGTGGAGGCATTGGAGGGAGTCTTCTCAGCAATGTCAGTCGAAGATACTACTGTAGAAGAGGCAAAACCTGGGGGTAAGAAAATTAGTGCATTTCTAATTTTGTTCATTGAGATTTGAGGTTGAACTAATGTGTTTTGCTTTCTGGTTTTTAGGTCCAGAAATGGTGTTCCTGGGATCACCATTTGGCCATGAAGACTGATCCATTCTCTACTGTCCAGCCAGGTTAATTACTGTAAAACTTCTTGTCTTTTGTTGCAAGAACCTGGAGTTTGTTGGTGTTACTAGTTAGGCTTAGGGATTTAAGTCTTTTTACTTGAATGTTGGTGCAGAATTTCAATTGATGAATGATGAATGCCGCTACCTGCTCTTGAGTAAGATGGCTAATGGCTTGATGGGTTCATATTGCTCGAAGGAAGGCTATTGTTGGTGCAGAATTTCAAGTTGAAGCTTCATCTTGCTCGAAGGAAGGTTGCTGTTGGAATTGATCTCAATAGTTAGGATGGCTTGGAGCTTTGTTTAGCTTAGTTGTTCTTTCTTTGAATAAGACTCGGCAATCAGACTGCTGAGAATGGATTCTCTTTTGTTGATTTCAGTTCGGATGATTTGATATTGTTCTTGATTGTTGATCACTTTGAAATTTCGAATGTTGTTGCTGTCAGTTTCAGACTTCAGTCTTTCAGATCTTTTATTGATAATAAAAGGAGATGTCAGATGTTCACTCACTTGTTCAGGTTTTTTTCCATTTTACTTGATCATTTTTGTTGGCAGTGTTTCGGGTCGTTCAGACCCGTGGGCACCCGAAAACCCAGCGGTGACGGGGCTGGGTATACTACCAGACCCGAAAGTCCGTTTGGGCCGGGGACGGGTAAACCCGAAGCCCAAGGTGGGCGGGGAACGGATACAGGGTACCCGGCCCCGATCCGCCCCGTTGCCATGCCTATTCATATTTATAGATTTTCTATTTAACCGTATGAACCAACATAAACCGATTTGACAACTTTTAAAAAGCATCCATTATCCCTTTCATCCAAAACGGAGCGTACGACCCCAAGACCTCTGCTGCTTTTTTTTTTCTTTTTCTTCTTCTTCAGAAAAGCGCTCTGCTAGACTGCTATATATTCATCCCGCGCTTTCAAAACCCAACTATCCGCTCAATTCAAATTCGCTACTCACAGCAAATTTTCTCAGAAGCCAAACACATTGCAAAGTTTCTCGGAATCCAAACAGCAGCGGTAGCTTCACGTCAAGCTGATTGAAGGCAATTTCTCTCTCTCTCTGCTTCAATTTAAGTTTCTAGTAGGTAGTCTAGCCTTCCAGTAAATCGTTAGTTCTTCGTGGAATTGAATGATTGCGTAGCTTGCTTTTCTCTTGTTCAATCTGAATCTAGTTGAATGAATTATGTTTCTCTCTGAACTCGGATGTTAAGTTTGCCGCCGGTAGAGAGCTCTAGTTACCTTTCTTGTGCGATTTCCTTGGTGCGTTTCTCTAATCTGAACGCCGTTCCGTCGTTCATCCTCGGGATCTATCTGAATCGCATGGAATGAATTCGATATTCTATTTCCCAGCCATTTTAGGTGTTTAGAAGCGGATCAGTCCTGTTTAGGTTTCTTGCTCTTTCAAGTTAACGTGTTTCCGTTCGCTGCTTCGTTCCTTTCGGTCAATTCACTGACCGCAGTCTAATTCTGCGCTTTATTTCTTGATTCTTGCGCGATTTCCTGGTTGCATTTCCCTAATCTGAACGCCGATCCGTCGTTCATCCTCGGGATTTATATGAATCTCATGGAACAAATTCGAGATTCCATTTCTCAGTCGTTTAGAAGCGGATCGGTCCTGTTTAGGTTTCTTGCTCTTTCAGGCGAACGTGCTTCCAGTTCGCTGCTTCGTTCCTTCCGGTAAATCCACTGACCGGAGTCTAATTCACCGACCGGAGTATATTCTGCTATCTTCGTTTTCTTGAAAATCACCGGCCGGAGTCCATTATGATATCTCTGACTTCGGGAACTCACCGGCCGGAGTCCTCTTTTGTTCACGGACCGAATGTATTCATGAGTTTTCTTTGTTTTGTTGTTTCTAGCGCATTGACCGGAGTCAATTCTCCTCTTTCCCTTTTCAGATGGCGGAAAATGATCTGGAAGGAATTCTTGCCGAAGAAAACGAAGAGGAGACGGAGCGGTCACTGCGAGGTAAGATTCTCCCGATTTGGTGTTGGTTGTGAGGAAATAGATTTTAATGCTGCTGGAGTTCGTTTACTATTAGAATTGATGATGCCTTGGTGTTCAATTGGGAGAAAGTAGAAGTTAATACTCTGCTGGAATGGTGATTTCTCTAAGAATTGTCACGCTGTGGTGTTATTGGGGAGAAAACTGGGTTGAATTCTGATGGAGTTAGAGTTAATGGCCTTTTCTTGTGGAAGTGGTCTGTGATATGAATTTTACCAAATCGAACTGCTCGTCTTTGAAATGGGTGACTGCGCCAGGCTAGTTAGCAATCTGATATGATCTATTTTCTTGTCTTAGGTCAAGCTGCAGCTGGGAAGAATAAGGCCCAAGGTGGCAGAGATGCAGCTGCTGCTAAACCAACTGGAAGGTACATACTCAGTTAGTTTCTGTAGCATTGGTCTCGTACTAAAAGCCACTTACCTTTTGCAGGAAATGGGGGGCTCCGACCAAGCTGAAGAGGGCTCGATGGGGTTGGGCGACCAGCGGCAGGAAGCTGCAGAGTGGACGTTACGCCAAGGGTGGGCCGACGGGGAAGAGGCTAATCCTCCCTACGATTCGTCTTCTTGTCCCTTCGTTGGAAAAGAATTCAATTGCTTGAAGTTGGGGCGGGCTGATCGGCGGTACCTTCAGTATCGATGGCAGCCGGGCGGAGACTGTAACTTGCCCAGGAGAAGAAAGGGGGATTGGAGAAGAGAGACAACTCGGGGGTTGCCTAGTGAAGAGACGATGACGGTTTGCTGGAAGACACGGCGACGGGAGAGGATGGCAATTAATCCGATCGGGGGTCACGGTGGGCCGGCCGGCTTCTTAAAAGGAAGAGAGAACAAGAGTTTCAGCTTGGTTAGTGAGCTAGGTTGCCTCGTGCTTTCTGGGCAACTCAGCTTCAATAGCCCCAAATATCAGCATCACAAGGAAGCCTCCAAATCAATTGTTGATTTCCCCTTCATTCATCATTGGTCTCTGGTCTTTTACTTCTGGTTTCTCTGTTTTTCCCCCCTGTGTTTGAATTTCAGGATGAAGGCTCTGCCATGGGAACGCACAGCTCTATCTACCCGTAAAGGGACTACTCTTTCACCCGCAAGAACTCTTTTGCTGCTTCCAGATCAAGCTCATCCTCCGCCTCCTATACTACCTGCACTCCGGCCACATCAGTGACATCACTACAGTCCTTCCAGCCTTTTGGTCGGCGCCGCCGCGCCGGTGTCCACGCGGGCATCGCATCACTGTGCGTGAGGACCGAAGCCAAACCCATGTGCCATTAGCAGCTGCCACGTGTATGATTGCAACGCCAGATGTGTTGTTAATTGTCGCTAGCAGAGGCGATCGATTTTGAGCAGAGGAGGACGATGATGAATAAGGTATCAACCCTAAAAATAAATGGAGACCGAAATTATCCATCACTAGTTACGTTACGTCACGTGTTGTCCGGCACTTGCCGGACATTAACAACAATAGATTATTGAATAAATAAAATTATTTGGCAGCATGGTTTATTGGCATCAATTTGGTTTTCGGACTTTAATCACCTTGGATCTTGACTAAGTTCGCATAATGGGCCCAACATAATTTATAATAGGGCCAATACTATGGTGCCGCTATAAAAAGTGCGACACCGATGCCGCAGTTTCCTATTGGTCCACGTGTTATATGATGTGGCATTTGCTGGTTTGATTAAACCCCAATCCAAATCCGTGGCCCATGAAAACTGACCCAAACCGGAGCAGTCACCCAACTGAATGTCAAAAGCATTTCCGTTAATTCTTGTGGTAAAACGTTTTGTTACTTTATAGTTTAATTCCTCGGTTGGATTTGCTTTTTATTTTCAATTAATTTATTTAGACAGTCAATTAAGAATTATTAACTATTAATTTAATTTGTTTTTGAACAGAAAATGGAAAAATGGAAAACAAGACTCGAGCACCTCGTCATCTTCCTCGCTCTCCATTCCTACAGATTATCAAAAACACAACCAATGACTTCACCATCGCGGATCCAATCTAATCTCTACCATACCCTGCACTAGACTCCTTCATCATTTTCCTCAGCCGACATTTATTCTATAAAACAAAAATGATCGAATTTCTCTTCCCGACAGACCCTTTGTCGCCGTTGAACTCTCCGCCAACCAAGTACCAGACGATCCCAAACAAAAGAAATGTTCCGGGAAAGTTCAACATAAGGCCACCAGTCGGCGAACAGTTCAGTAGCTAAAAGATAAAGAGAAACAACCACAAACAGGTAATCAGGTAATGCATCCAACAATAATGCACCTAAATGACAGTCAGCACGCGGCACTAGATAAATCTAAACCGCACTCCCAAATTAAAATAAGGACATGCTCTCCATTCAGCAACCTAGAAGCCCAGCAGAAAACATTTCTTTGTGAATACAAATCCAAGGAAAGTACCAGACCCTTGCTATTGTTAAATGGTTCCATCACTCATTTAATAATTGTCCAACTGAGAAGGTCTTCATGAACTTCTCATAAAAAAGTCTAAGTTAGCATACCATAAAACATTCTACCTGGAACATCTGATAACAAGATGGCAAAGTTCCCGAAAGACTTCCCAATAAAAGAATGGACAGACTGAAAACAAAGAACTCACTAGAAGGGATGAGAAAAGGGTTTCAATTCAGAAAACTGTTTCCATTGACAGAAAATAATGATCTCCACAAACGGAGTCTAATTTCTCAAGCATGAAAGG